ATAGGGTTGTTATCCGGATGCGGAAACGAATTACCCGCGTTAATCCTCAATGGCTTACTGTGTACCATCTAGAACAATAGGCTTTTATAATTTAGGAATAATTGTTAACTCACATGACGATGTTTATCCTTCTAATGTCATATGCCACGTAAAACATTACTAAACAAAAAATTTTATTTATAGATGTTTATTTCCTCGAGGATTATGATTATTGGCATGTATTACGTACTGTATGAACGTATGTACGCACGTATACTGTTCTATTGGTTCTATTAGATAACCATTGTGCATTATATCTCGAGCATGGCATGTGGAATGTCGTATCGCGTCTGTATCAAATTATCAAATTGTGAAGTTCATTTTCGAATGATAAATATAAAAAGTCAAAAAAAACAAAATCTAAAAATCGATCTAACTTTTTTAGAGACAAGGTTTTTTTGAATAAAGAAATTATTAAAAACTTTAACCCACAATTTCGAATCTTTTGCCTAATTTAGAAATATTATACATCCTAAAGAGGTGTTATTATCAATCATCTCCTTTAAGGCTTTACGTAAGTCACACGAATATATTATACGAATAGAATTCTGAGATCGGTTAGCTTGCATCCAAATAATGCAATCCTATTGAACTCTAACTCTGGCCTAAATTATGTGAATGAATCTTGGAGTAAATTAAAAATAAAGTTTTCAATGCACATTGGGATCTTTAGTAGATAACCATACGAGATTATGTAAGTTACATGATTTTCTAATAATCAAGTGGTCTAATTAGGTTACTTTGATGATTAGAAAAGTCATAATCTCGTAGGATCGTTTTACCAGCAAAGATCCCCTTAATCCATTTTTAAATCTCTATAGGTATAATTTAGTCGCCTTAGGCGTTATTTTAGAAATAAGAGTAGATCATCTCTCAATTTTAACTTATATAATTTAATAGTAACTTAATAGTAACTAGGTTTGTTTTAAACTTCCGATTTTTTTTTTTTTTTTTTTTTTTTAACTAGCGCCCCAGGCGTATTTTATACAGTAAGGATTTTGCCAATCACGTCATAAAAAGATTCATGATCGTCTATATATGTACTGAATCTAAGCTTTATTTATGATTACTTATATTTATAACGATAAGCAGGTTTTTATCGGATCATTTTCATTTTTCGTGTCGATATTTGATATTGCCCCGTCATCAACGTTGGTTGGTTGAAAATGTCAGGTTAGAAGATTAGCAATAACGTGATAACATATCATTCCTTTTTAGGTCTCATCTTGTTTAAGGTCCTGTTCTGAAAGGAAAGTTTAAATCAAGTCGATTGTTTCAAGATAAACAATCTGCTCTTTTAATGGAGACAAAGGTTAGCGGACTCTTTCCTAACAAAAATATAATATATATATATATACACAATATATATATATACATTTTTTTTTTTTTTTTAATATATATTTTTTTTTTGTTACCGTCTACACCTCTTCCATGAATGTAACCATGAATGTAATTATTCATGTTATAAGACTTCAAAAAGAAGCAGACAAATATAGAAGTAAATACAAAAGATTACTGGAATAATATAGCATATTAAGAAAAATTAAGAAGAGAGATGCATCGTGCACTATTTTGCGCATGATTCCAGTTCCTCTTCGGTTGTTGCGACTAAAGATTGTTCGAATCGACATTTGCCATCAAGAATAAAAATGAAATGGCTCACATCTATTGTCCTTGTCTCGGTTCGGTATAGCCCGAGTTGAAGATTTGATAATCTTTCATCACAAAATTCAGATCGAGAGTTGAGACTAAGAATACCGCATGTGATATGCGTTTACACGCGGGATTTTTGAACGCCCATCCATCTAGTGTTTACTGTCCTGAGATTCCCTTTACTTTTGAATATATAAAAGAATTAAGGTGAGCAGTTCAAACGTATTTCACTTTCAATTGCATGTATTTTACTTTTTCAATTGTAATTATTGAAACTAGAAGAGGCAAAGAATAAAAAAAAGACGTTTTCTTTATAGTCTTTTAGACAAAACATAAAATTATATATTGGTTGCAAACATGCTTAAAATCTAAGATTTTTCTATAGAGTTGGAACGCAGCTAACTTACAATGCAAGTTTTTTTTTTTTAGCTAAGCAAACCTTTCTTGAGTTTCTAACAAATATTATAGAGCGAATTATTCCAATTTTAATAGTGGTAGAATTATTAAAATCGGTTCATGTCTATATGACTTTTATATATTGCCAGAAACGTTCGGCATTCCAACATTATATAAAAGTAATTCTCCGCCGGTTTTTACTATAAAATTTATACTCTTCAACTGCGAACTACCGCTTAAATTTAATAAAAATTTCTTACGCAATAAAATGTTTATAAAAAAAAAAATAAAATTAAAATTATATATATGCAAAATAAAAAATTTAAACGTCTTAGGTATTTAAAGCCTGTTGTCCTAGCAAAAATTTTGAGTTTTTGGCCTTTTCATTACTTCAAACAAAATTGCGTGTACTTCTTGCAAAATTTGAGCAAAGATACCTATAAAAGATCCAGGTCTCTTGCATTCCACCAATGTTAAAACCTATAATAAACGTCAGGTAAAGTATAATACATGATTGAGATTTTATATCAGATATTATTAAGAGGAAAATTTTAAGGGACATGCGTATTTCTCAATTATCTAGATATTTAAAGAAAGCTGCATTTGGTCTTCGTAGATTCTGCGATTCATCTATTATTGTGAGGGGTCTTGTATACGATAGTTTACGGTACTTCAGCTAACTTGACATTTGAGTGCTGCCAAGGGAAAATGGCACCTCCGTTTTTTAATCAATTATTGATTCAATAATTGATTAACAAACGGAGGTGCCTTTTCCCCTGGCAGCACTCATTTGAATATGCTTCCGATTTGTAGAATTTGATATTTAATTTATAGCTAACTAAAAGCGTTGACTTTAAAAATGATTCTAAATTGACTAATGTTTGGTGTATATGTAATTAAAGTTATACTGTTTGATAATTAATTATATATTCGATATTGAGAAATTAAAATATTAATACCCCGATCACTATATCAAGATCACGGGAGTATTAATTAATAATACCCTGACCGTATGTGAATAAGCGGAAACTCCGTTTCCAACGGATCAGGATATTATTATTACTAATTATCGCGGCTGATACTGAAATTTGGACCTATTTGATATGAAATTTAAAATTTTTTTGGAGGGGTGTTTTTATTAGGGTTGGGTTAGGATTTTGGGCTAAAATTGATAATTAAAATAATTAAAGTGTGTGGAGACTCAAATATTAGCCAATTTCAGGATCAGCCGCGACATTAATGTTCACGGTTCTAAATATTTACGAATTTTAGATACATTAGACTTATCATTAATAATACTGATAAAATAATAAATTTTTATCGGCTAGGCATTATAAATATTTATTTTCGCGAAAAAAAATTTGCAGATGAATCGAAATTATCAACCGTGAACGAATATCCGAGGGATAGATATATTTGTTAGAAAATCTGCACGAAATCGAAATACCACTGCATTAGATGTGGAGATAAACGCTATCGAAAACATGCAATAATAGAACTCTAAATTTGGACCTATGCAATAGGAGTTCGGGTCTTTACTGCAAGGATTCACAGTAATTTGATCCGACGCATCTCAGTCAAATTTGGCTTGACGTACTGTTATATGAATTATGGATTTGATCGACATCAATTAAGCCAATTACATGAATGTCTTCCTTAAATGTTTAAATATTCATGTTAATAAGAATATCATAAGAATATCGATAAACAATTTTAAAATACGCTTTTTATACTCAGTAATTTTTAATCATGAGCAATGCTGGAGGACTTTATAGAAGATCGATTAACAAAAGCAAGATCCAAAAGAGGGAAAGAGACAGCGATGTAAAAGAAGAAATGCGTGAGAGGGAAAAAAGCAGTGATCATAGTCGTAGCCGTTCTACTTCACTTAGTTCGTGGAGAGATTCAGATCGGAATTCACCACGTTTAAGTGATCGGAATTCACCACGTCCAGGCGATCGGAATTCACCACGTATAAGTAGAAGTGATTGGGATTCTACACCAACAAGGTCGATCACACCACGATTCTCCGGCGGTGGGCTAACTTCTCGAAAAGGTAAAAATATTGTGTTCATCTAAAAATTATTTTATGCCTGTCGACTTATATTTGATTAAACATAAAATTATTAGAATATCAACCTATGAGGGATTTTCCAACTCCTCGACTTGCATCGTTTGATAATGATTTGGATTTCGCATTTAATCAAGATGAAGAAGATATAAGTGATGATAGACGCGAGTGGGAAGAAGAACAACGACAACTGGATCGTGACTGGTACAGCATGGAAGAATCGTCTGGTGTAAGTGCTAATTTATTACAAATTCATAATATATGTATAAATATTTAAATGTTTAATTTATAATTCAGGCAATGGACGATACACACAATCCTTTTGCTGACTATACGGACTTTGTTGAGAAAAAAGAGGAGGAACTCGCTCAGAGACAGCTTGTGTGTGTGATTTCTATTCAATTATTATAATTATTACAATCTGACCTTCCTAAATGTAACTTCTTAAATACTTCTCAAAATGCAAACTCTAATCCGACTTTAAATCATGCATTTAGGGAGATTTGATTGTAACTTTATTATGTATTCTGGATTTTTATATACTAACTACTTAATCTATTCAAATTAGAAAAAACTTACTGCAAGGCAGGAACAGTATAACAAAGATAATGAACTCTGGGAAACAAATCGTATGCTTACTTCTGGTATCGTACAGAGGAAAGAAATTGATTTGGATTTCGATGGAGATTCAGAGGTGAGTATAAACACTCAACATTTAATTTAATTCGAAATTAAAACTAAATTGATTAATTCAAACCAAACTATTGATTTATGTAGGCACGAGTGCATTTATTAGTACATGATATTAAACCACCATTTCTTGACGGTCGCATGGTTTTCACAAAACAATTGGGAACTGTACAATCTGTCAAGGACCCTACTTCCGGTTTGGCTGTCTTCTCTAGGAAAGGAAGTCAATTGGTAAAAGAAAAGAGAGAACAAATAGAACGTCAAAAGGTTTGTTATAAATAAAGCCTATACAATCCATATTGCCTATGTATGTTGTATATTAATACTTTTTTTTGTGATGCTATTAACAGGCTGCTAAGAGTGTTGTAGATGTTGCAGGCACTGCCTTGGGTAACATTATGGGTGTTAAAGTTTCTGATGAAGACTCTGAAGGTAAGCTTTGTGTAATTCGGAAGTCATTTTACACAAGTCAAAAAAATCAAGCTGGCCTACTTTAATTGTTTCTTTTTTTCTTTTCTTTTCTTTTCTTTTTTTTTTTTTTTTTTTTTGAAAAAACATATATAGCACCGCCTACAAATCCAGAAGGAGAAATGGAAACTCCTAAAGGTGATTCACAATTTGCATCACATTTAAAAGCATCCGAAGCCGCTAGTTCCTTTTCTAGGTCGAAAACTCTTCGCGAACAACGTGAATATTTGCCTGCTTTTGCAGTTCGTGAAGAACTATTGAGAATTATTAGAGACAACCAAGGTACCTTTAATTTTTACCATTAATAATTTTTTATTTCCTTTAAATTTTCCGATGTCTTATATGATACATTACTGCCTGTAGTTATTGTCGTGGTTGGAGAAACTGGTTCAGGTAAAACGACACAATTGACACAATATCTTTACGAGGA